GAATATTTGTTTCAACTTTGGATATATATCATATGTGTATTTGTTTAATTCAAGATTTAATACTATTACTAAAAATCCATCATTTTTGCTATTCCAAAACCAAATTTTGGATGCAGTTGTTATTTATTCAATAGAATTGGACCTTGATCTTTGTTTTTCAGATCAATTCAAAATGGCCATTTTGTTTGGATGAATGCTGTTCAAGAGCCATATCTCTGACTAACATTGAAAGTTTGAATCAAACTTTACTACTTTGTTTCAAATTCTGTTTTGAAATGGTTGACTCATTTCAATTTTGTCTACTATTGAACAACTGGGTGTATATGTAATGACGTGTCACCATTCAGTTATGTTGCGAAAGTTTTATACTGCTAAGGGAAAGACACATATTGACATTTATTTCAACTTCTGATTCAAAATTGCTGATTATTATATTAGTTTGTTAGAAACAGGGACTAATATTTTTGGTACAGTGCATCTGTCCTAATATCATTTCTCAAACATGTCTTAACAGATTTTTTATAGTTGGCACAAAAGCAATTCATAGTGGGAACCAGAAGACATGCGTATATGTTGATCAGTTTTTTTTTGTTCCTTTGACTGACTGGTGACCATTTTAGTCCCAAAAAACAACAACAAGCAGCCAGTCGGCTGAGATAGCTCCGCTGTTAGCAATGCACATTTCAATTAAAGAACAGAAGATATCATTAGAAAATGAACAATATGTAGACTTGCTGTTTTCAACAAGAATTCAAAAATATCACTTTTTACCAAAAATGACAAAAATATTAAGCAAAGTTAGAGAATTGAAGATATCAACATGAAATGAACAAAACTGAGAGAGGTCCACATGTAGAACCTATATATGTAATATCAAAGCAATGGAACTTGCCGTTTTTAACAAGAAGTTGAAAATATCAAAATAAAAAAAATATTCATCAAAATTAGAGAATTTTTGACATGAAATGAACAAATCTGAGAAAGAACCATCCAAGGTACTTGCATATCAAATTTGAAAAAATTCTGACTTACGGTTTTGAAGAAGAAGTTGAAATTGTAAAGTTGACGACAATGGACGCCAACGACGACGAACAATCAGTAATATGTAGAGCTCCACTTTGTCGACTTTGTCGACAGCGGAGCTAAAAATCAACATATGAACACATCAATCATTTCTCAGGCATGCCAGGACTCAAACTTTCATTCAAACTTTGAATTGATATCTCATGTTAGGTGGGTTACTGTTAGACGTTTCTTTACAGATACTGAAGTTTTCTACCCATTTTTACAGATTTTGTTAAAATTTGGTGCACAGCAAAGACAATTAAGTGCATGTTTAATTTAGTAATTTTGTTGGACATGCTATGATCAATTAACTCGATACAATAACAAGATGTATTGGTTTACATATTGATTTATTTTGATGACTTTTGACTGACTGCTAGTTCTTTATATTTTCATGTGTCTGGACAAATATTTTGTTTGAAATTTGGTACTACAAAAAATAATAGAGCATGCTGCTTTGTTTTTAATTTTGATAACCTTTGACCAGTCAACTGTCGGTTATTTAGTTCCCAAAACAACATTTTAACCATACTTTGGCGGATTTTATGCATATGAATTGGTATCACTCATGGTTTGATGCACGTCCAAGTTTGCTTTGCTTTGTGATATGATTCAAAATGAGTGACTGGCAGCCATGTTGGTTTTTCATCATTTTTTGGACATGCTGGGTACTTTCCTAACATTTAATTATAAACTACATCTTTCAACTTTGATAATTTACACAGTAGTGAAAAACTGGACAGGGACTATGTCATTGACTTCTTTCAGTTTTGCTTTTGTGTCGTATCTCATTTGTAGATTACCTGGTATTTTACCTTCACCATAGAAAAATGTTTTTTAAAGTTGCAACATCTCAAAAACTGTAAATGTCTGAAGAAAAAGTGTTGAAACACCAGTTGAGTAAAGTGTGAAGGAAACAAACATTTTCTGTAAAACTATTTTATTTCATCACAGGATACATGTACATTAGGGGACATATTGTTTGATGGTGTGAAACTGAAATATATACAGTAATTTAAATATGTACATTTTCTACACTTGTAACACTGCAATATTATTGGTGGTTACCGTAATATATCATTAATTGGGTTAATGTATTGCATACATTATTTAGACCTATATATATATTTTGTAGTAGACAAAATTTGAAAGTTTCTGACCATGTTGATCTAAAACAGGATTATTATTTAAGCAACCATGTCCTGGGGCTCACTTCAGTGTGAATGCCATTTTTTATTTATTTTTCTATAAAATTTTAATTTTTGGACCAACTGAGGTAATTTCCCACAGAAGGGGTAGATCAAAATGAATAAGAAAATATTTATTTTGGAAGTGACAGAAATTTAAATAAACGACAGTTGCAACACATGCAGTTGTGAGGGGGAAAAAATGAGGAAATATATAAATATTACAACTTCACAAAACATCAAAAACTGGACCAATTAAATTAAGACCACCATATTTTTCAGTACCATTCAGTTTCTCTGATCCTGACAAATTTACAACCAGCAGAAAACACTGGCCTGGGAATTTTGATTTTTTTTGTAATGATGGCTGACATAATTTGGAAGATATTTTAATAGCAATAATTAATATGCTCAGTATCTGACTTTGGATGGATGCTGCTTACGTGAATCACAGATTTTTCTAAGGTCAAAATAAGTAGTATTGGAATGATTCAGTGCACAGTCAATGCAAATTATGGTTTCTTATAGAGAAAATACGGTACACCGTGTAAACCAATTCCATTTCACGATTAAATTGTGACTAATGTTGTTGATTTAACAGTTTGCATTTTCCAATCCAGACTCGCAAAATACAAACATTTGTCGCTTCCATAATTAAAACTGTTTTCAGTACCTATTGATATGGAAGTTAAATCAGTGTTTTGTTAGATGGAAGATTGTAAAAGCATCAATTAAATAACTTTAAATGTACTAGCTTACCATGCACTCACTCACCAACAAAGACGTACTATGCTAATCCACGTTCCAAATTTCATATACATTTTAGTGTAAACATTTTTTTTTTGACAATCTAATTTCAACAGACTGTCGGATTTTTGAACATACTTTTACTTAACCCCAAAAAAAGTTGTAAAAAAGCAATATAAACATAAACAAAATAATTTCAATAAACCAACATATACAAACAACAAATGGCAGCAAATAAAACACTTAACATTTTTTAACATAAAAAATGATTGTATAAAGAATATTTACAAAATGCAACCACTCTATCTTCAATGATTATCAAATTGACAAGGCTAATATCTGATGTATTTTATATTCTAATTTTACTTGTTGACTAATCTAAGTCGACTAAGGTTTGGGATTTTACCTAACAACATTTTGCATTTCATCTGTTAGAGAAGCAACATGGATAACTTAGGTAATTTTATTTTTGATCTTGTTTAAATAATTTCGTTGATATTGTATGTGGATAAAACAGTAGGGTATGATTATTCCCTACTTTTATGATTTATTCATAAATTGTTTTGTCAGCAGTATTCATTCCGTGAAATGACAAAGATAGACAGTATGCGTGCACCTCTCATTTACCTATAGGTACAGGCAATTTGAAGCACATGCACAGACTTGAATCCTCATTATTTCATAGCAAGAAATAACTAATGAAGTCTGCTGTCAAAACAACTTTATTTATTGACAAACCAATTTTCGTTGTTCTTCTAATCAATGGTTTTTTTTTGTTTTTTATTTACTACTAAATCTCCATTATATAATCCACTTTGACTTTCATATACCGCTAGTAGCATGCTATTGACTTGTAACCTATTTGCAATATTACCGGTAGTAGTGCACTTCAACCTAAATTGCATTAATTGTATTCTATCATTGAAATGTGCTATTTTGACCATAGATTCACTTCTGTGATTTACATATAAGCACATGGTATACAGGTACTCTTTCATTTACAAAGTAAATAATTCAAGTTTCATTGGGTCTCATGACCAAGTCATAGGTGGAAATGAAAATATGTGGCACATAGTAAATTAGATCCTGTCTATGATTGGAAGGCTTTCAAATCTAAAAATAAACATTGCCTGCACCTTTGTGAACCATAATGGATGACAAACTGACCAGTCAGGATGTCTTAATGAAACATAGCTAATTGTAAACTGCCATGGAAGTTCATAACATATCTTTCTAGTATCAAATTGTAAATCAAAACATGTAAGTATATTATTGCTTTATAATTAAGTACTGATAACAAATACATTATTGACTATTTGTAACTGTTTTTTAAATAATACATGTACATAAAATATACGACTTAACGAAAAAACAACCCAACTAGCAGTATTGCAATGTAACATGTAACTCACTATTTTGCAAACAAAGTATCAATATTGATATCAGTGTACCATCACAAACTGTTACATTTGAACTATCAATATCGTTATTTTGTTTGCAAATCAGAGAGACCTATTGGGTTGGGTTGCCTTTTTATTTATTAATATTTACAAATAACAAATTTTCTTTCAAAGCAGAATCTGTTGTAATCATTTATCAAGTGTGAGTATATAAGATTTCTGCCAGCACAGCTAGCACACGTTGATTGGCCATTATGTACACCAATTGAAAATATTAAATGTAAAAAAAAGTAACTATTTCAGGCATTTTTTGGATCTCTCCTAATCTAAAGATATTTGTATTTTAAGGTTCGAGACCTCAACATTATACCTAGCATTGATGTCACTGAATCAGGCAGCCATTGGACGTTTGATTCTTTGATTGAAAACAGTCATCAACCTTTTAAACAAATTGAAAGTCTGAATAACTAATGAGGTATCAAAGCTAGGTATAATGTTGAAGTCTCGAAATTTGCACAGTTCTTACGCTAGGGGTCAACCATTTGAATTCATGGGGGTTGCCGGAAAAGTGTGACCAGAGCAACTTTTTTTTTCACTGTGTCTTACCCGTACATTTTCTTTTTCTTTAATGTGTCAATATTTTATCCCTACAACATCTTTTTCTCACCGCCACCCTCTATAATTTCAAATGGTCACCCCCCCAATTATGGAGCAGCTAATAGAAATGTGAATATCTCAATAAAAAGCAACTGCAGTAATCAACCAATAAAATGTTTGGCATATTTTATCTTCTGATAGTTGTATGTCTATTCGTCTGAAACACTTGAATCATAAACGCCTTACATTCAGTACAGATGTCTTTCATGTTGCTACTTGCACTTCGACCCCAAATTGACCTTCGACCCATGGTTGGTGAGCAGGCAGGTGTTGCTGGGGCTGATTCACTGCAAGATTAAAGTTAATTGAAATGCACCTGAATGACTCAGTTGAATTTGATAAGTTGAAAAAACAAGTTGCTCTCTGACTACCCGGTGGTATCACTGTTAGAATTGGTTAGTCAATCGGGTACGAGTTGCTTCGCATTGACATGAATGATTTTTATGCTACCTCAGAAAGTCATTATCAAAAAAAAACTTAGGATATATTTTAAATTTTAACACTATGAATAATTAATGTGTTTACACAAAGCCTAATTAGAAGGGAAAATCCAGAAACAATGAGTAAAAAAATACCAATAACAAAAGTACAAGTTAAAGTGAACACTAGATGGCGCTATATCACAGTACTTTTTCAAATTTACTATCAGCACCAGTTCTTGCAAATAATAAAAATAAAGCCTACCTTCTAGGGTCTTCTTCATCAAAATCCAATTGTAAAGAAGTTTTAGGAAGACACTTGGTGGGAGAAGCACAAGGTGATAATGCATGTATCGGTATATGAAGAAAATGTTCTGAAGGAATTTTCATTCTTCGACAACAGCGAGAACAAATAATCCTAGAGTAATGAAAAAGGCAAATACAAATATTTTGATTATTATAAAACATATCTTTCATTTTTACTTGAGGAGATAATAAGAATATTGACTTCAGTGTTGATTACCACAATCTTTCCATTGAACCATCAACAAAATAACTATTTGCAGGTGGTTGATTTGTTAGAAAAATATTTAAATTTTATGCCATTGATTTATGGAGTTTTTTTTTTTACTCAGTTTTGACATGTTTGATGAATTAATGTAATGAGGAAATTCCCAACAGAAAAAAATTGTGAAACTTTTAAACACCACAAGATCTGAAGATGTCTGATAACTAGTTTTATTTCTTCTAAGTAAAAAACATTAACAGATTGTGCATATGACAGTGTGAAAAAATCAGAGAATGTTCATGAATATAAATGCTATTATTGTGGAATGTGGCTTTCACCATGGGTCACATGACCAAGAATGTTATAAACTGTATTTGCTCTACGATATGTACATCCTTCACGTGCAAACCACTGTTTTGTTTTATCTGGTCCTTTGTGTGAAATTTCAAATGCAATAATTGGTTTTATCAGTGGTTTACTAATTGTTATTGATGAAAAAATATTTGTTTGGAATAATGTTCTAAGCAGGATAGAATTTTTCATATGATATTTTGAAACAGTATTTGATTTTCAGTTCACTGACTAGGTCTATTCATCAACTTGGCTGTCAATGGGACACACATCTGATACATGGCAAGGGGTTCTTCTAAAAAAATGAATAAGAGAGAGCACACACAGGCGAGGGAAAGGATCTATCGCCATATTGTTTGGAGTAATGTTAGTGTATTTGGTGTCCAGACACATTGTCAGCTGGTGTTGCTGGAAAGTTTTCACGAAGAAAAATATATTTGAGATTTCATGTTGTACAGCAGCACAGAAGTGCGCGGCTCAAGAAATATATTTATGACTTGAAAGTTCAATCGGCAATTCGGTATTAAGAGGGTGCCAGCCAAGAGTATCAGTGCGCTGTGCCCCTGTTCTCCCAGTTTAGAAAAAAACCTGCATATAAGAGATTTTAAATAATAACAAAATAATAATTTGCACCTCTACTTACTTTTTACAGAGTTTACACTTGTATTTTCTATTAAATAGAGCAAATCTTATTTTACAGTTAAAACACACCTGTTAAATAGAAAAAAAAAATTGGTCACAAAAATGTGCTGCTACTTAACACTGCTTGAACCACTAAATATACGGTGGCATATAGGTAGAGTGATTGGTTGGCATCATCTTCTTACACCAGTTTTTGGGCTGGACCACCATAAGAATATATTCTGTCAATTCTTACAATGACTTTTATTATCCCTTGTTTCGCAAACCCGCCGAATAAACATGAGCCGAAAATGAAATAAAAATAACATTTTATTTCAGCGTAATTTCTCGCGCCCGCCGAATTGTAAGCGCAAAAAATTGCTAAAAAAATATTTTTATCTTCATTTTTACCACCCGCCTCAAACCAAATCCAAGTTGCATTTTCGTGGGAGTATCATGATCAAAGTACCGAAGTCTCGCGCAAATGAGAAACAAGGTTATACGTGGAATAAAATTTTATTTCATTTCTTCTCTCCGATCAATGATCTCACTAATACAATTCTTTGAGAATCACACAAATCTAATGGAAAAAAAGAATTTTATTTTATTTTCGCCCTCCTCAAAAAAATTGCCTTATAAAAACTCGAGAAACAAGTCTGGCCCAAGTTTTGTTAATTTTTTTATATATTGAAATTATGTGGGGTTCATTTTGTAGAAAAAAGTTGACTTTGCTGATCAGAGGGTTAAAAATTCTCAGCATCCTCTCTTTGTACAGAGTTGCAGATTTCCATGGATGAATGACTCAACTGTATAAGGGATAAAAAAAGGTGGGCATGGAAGGAATAATTTCTTCAAAGTGTTCACACATGTATGAAGTCAAATTAAAGGGCTATGACTGAACTGCAATTTTTGGTTAGTTTTTTGGATTTGTCAATCAATGTACTGGTAATACAAAGCCAAAACTACTTTTTAGGCACCAAAGGGGTAAATATTGTAGTATGCTGTGTAACATGATGGATATTTTTGATGAAAGTGTGCATATTCATTTTGTTAAGGTCATTTTGGCACACATGGAATAAAAATATTGGCAAAAAATTCAGCTCATGGCCTACTGTAACTACTTTCCCACTACTGTAGAATACTTATATTCGCTTGGAATTGATTTTCGCTGAAGGAACGATTCAGTGAAAATAAAATCCAGCGAATATAACTTTTTTCCTATATTTTACTTTCAACTCGTCAAAAAACTGTGAAAATAAATTCCAAACAAAATGCCCAAAAAGTATATTCAGTGAAAATTAATTCCAGCTAAAATAAAATATTTTACAGTATATAAAGTCAAATTTCAATGTTTTCAATGATTATTCTAAACTTACCTTTTCATTGAGCACATCTAAATAAACTTTTTTATAACACTGCAAGTCTTCCAATTCTGCTTTACAATGTACACTTCGTATATGCTTCACTTCATCCACTGTGAGTGACAGGTACTCAATCGGGTCATTCCAATCATGCTATCATATGCAAAACAATCAAAATTACATCAAATTGACCCAAATATGCTATTTCAATTTCCTGTAATGCATTACCACTACAATGACCTCACAATTTCTTGCTTGAAGGAACAATACATTGTTTTTTATCGTCATTATGCCAAATCTGAAGGTCAGCATTTATAAAACTGGAATAAAGAAAGTTAGTATATTTTCTGAAAAGCAAGTAATTGTTATTGTTATACATCTGTCATCGTAATCGCACAAGTTCTAATTTTGGCGTATTTCATAGGTTATCTGTATTTTACAATATCAGGGAATTGCTATTATGGAACAATTTCACACTATTTCCAAGATTGGTGAAAAAAAGTTTGAAAGTGTTTTTGAAAACTAAGTTTGAGAAAGTTACAATAATTGTCACCATTTTGCTCAATCATGGTTGAATTGGGAAGATTATTATAAGGCTATTATGAGGAAATTGCAAAGTCTATATACAGAACATGGTCGTATCGACCACTACAAGTTGGTAAATACTCTCGCTGTATTGTTGTTGTGCATAATTTGAGGAATCCTCGCAATAACCTCATATTTTAAAGCATCCCAGTCATCGTGAGCATACATTTGATTGTCATGTAAACAAAGCTCATGTTGCATGGGACCCATATCAAAACAATGTGACATAGCATCTGTAAATACTGATACTTTGCATTGTTATACATAACGGCTTATATAATAGTTAAACTAAAAAATTTTAAAGCGGGGGAATTGTCACCTGCGCATGCGTCAGATGGCCATAATGTGTCATTGTTTACAAACAAGCATCTACCCATGAGCCTTTGTGTTTTTAGTGTGTGTTGTTATCGTCGCTTGGGACTCAATTCCCGCGTGTGCGCAGGTGACGACCCTCCCGCTTTAAGTTAAGGGTATGCAACTTTGAAATCCTGGTGACAAATTCTGTGTATGCGTCAACAAACTTTTGACCAATGTATGACATCACAGAATCCAATGCACACATGGAAACATGAATGAGCGTGGTTATAATTGCACAATTTTCAAATATAGCAAAGATAAACACCAACAACATACTCACTACAGTACCTATTAGATTTCCAGAAATAATTGAAGTCTTGCGATGATGTGATCATCTTTTTATTTTCGTGATTGCAATTGGAATCTATTGATATGATAAAGTTGCATACCCTTATCTTATCAATCATTATTTCTATACTAATCTACAGCATACAGTCTGCCAATGGTCAACAAGCAGACTTATATAATGCTATACTTGGTTGGCAGAGGTTTGTTAAATGGTGAAAAGGTGTGAATATCATGGCAGGCATCTCAACCTGTGTCAAGAATGCATGGTTAGATCATGTTATTAAGTTTTAACTCCATACATTATGGGCAGCACACAGCGCTATGATTAAATAAGTTTTGAACATTCCATTTTAACAACATGCAGTTTATAAAAGTTCATGCACTCAGAGTGTTATGATGAACATGTCGAAATGCAAACTTAAAATGAATGATGCAGCGAAATAAAATAAAACGAGCATTTTACCCCATATTTATTGTAATCGATAACGTCTTCAGGTAAGGTATAGAGACACCTGCCATGGTTGGATCGACACCTGTAATTCAACCGTTTAGTAGGGTAAGGTTTTTTACTGACCATGGAATGTTTTGGTGTCTCACAGATTGTTATGCTGTGTCGCCGAGGACTTCCAACTACGGGTGCTTGGTTAGGTGAGCTTGTGAAAGGCACTGGAAAATAAATAACATTTGTTGATATTTTTTCTGAATAAGTATTAACAATTCTTGTTATTTTAAGCACTACAGAACAGTGATTGTGGAGATGCACTTTCAGTCATCAAATTTCATTACCTGATGAAAGACAATTTATTTGACAATGTAAAATGTATTTTAATTACTGTGTACGTATCATATTTGACTGCGTAAGTACCCTGTGGCAATAACTCTGAATAACTCGCGATTTTTTAAGGGATGAATGCTTAGCCAAGCACTCTCTTCAGAAAACTGTATTTTTTGTGTGACAGACATTGTTTTGCCATTTGCAGTTTTGTTTAGAACAGTAAAACATTGAAAAAACATAGCAGTTTTCATGACTTACAGTAGACAGATTGAAGCATGCTGGTAGGGCTGGACGTTTTGGCAATTTTGACCCCGAATATATAAAAATCATGCGAAAGTGGGAGCCAGATACTTCACTTGACATGGGCGCTAACAGGATTGAATATGGTATTTGACTTACTATATGAAATTACATTGGAATTAACATAAATCTGGTGCAAACAAATTTTAAAAAAAGGTAAATTATTTCTTACTTTTATAAGTAAGTTTTTGAGATGGTGATTCAGACATAGAAATGTTGACATATTCATCAGATTCATCTTCTTCGTTGTATAGCCTGTTGTATCCCACTCCATCATCTTCACTGTCATCAGACTTAAAAAAAAAAAATTAAATATTCAAAAAATAATAAGGATCAATCATTTCATTTTCTCTACAATACATAAAAGTGAAATGACCACAACTAGATGAATTATAAAGGGCAGCTATTCAATGTTCAATCTCATGAACCCTAACCCTAGGTATAATGCCACCAAATGTCAGGTTTTACTCTGAATCACAAATATCGTCACATGAATTCAACCCGTTGAGTGCCTAATTTTTTCCTGTTCAAATTCGAGTAAATTTATTCACATTTACTGGAATTTTCACTGAAATGTGACATTGCTTCTAGTTTGTGATTCAAAAATTTGAAATTTTCACAGTATTTTATGTCAAAAAAAGCTGACTATAAATAGAACTATTTTGTGCTTGAAGGGGTAAAAGCAATTTCAATTTTGTAAACCAATTAATTTCAGATATTAGAAATGTTGCATTTTATATGTTTATATTTTGAAGGAGTCAATGTGAATTGTTTCAAAAACTCCAATGAAATATTTTACAATTTTCAACAACTCATAAAAGTCTCTCATGAAATTAAAGCACTTTACAGACGTCTTGTTTATGCCAGTATACTGCAACAACATTTTATTTTTATCATTGATTTGTCAAAATTGTCTCTCACAAAATTCAACCATTTTATAAATATCTTATCCAACAGAAAGAAAAAGAAAATCAGAAAGAAACTAATAAAGTAGAAATTACTTACAATGTTATCCCAATCTATTACCAGATCAGCAAATGAAATTTTCGTTTTTATCGGTTGGTTTTCAGGTTCAGGAGTAAGAGAGTTGTCACCGAAGTCAATTGGAATGAACTTATACTCTGTTGGTATGAATGAGTTGAAATGTTATATTAAAAGGTGGTTGTCGTCGCTCAAATTTCATGTAAACAATGTATTCCACATGCGTTGATAATCTGCTATGAGTCCCATATCGAACAGAAGGAGGTGCGATGACCTCCACCCTTTAAAGTCACCAGAGTGAAATAAAGCATCCCTTTCAACAGATTAAAATAAGTATTTGTTTTATCACACTACACCATATTATCGAACTCTTCATGTCGTATCAACTGTGGCACATCCTACAGTACAATTGTAACATGTATTCATTAACATATCACATGACTTCCATCAACCAATCAGCAGCTCATAAGATATGCATTAAATATACGATACCTTGACGTCTTGGAGTTGGTTTTAATCGAGGCACTGATTTGATTTCATCTAGCATTCGCTCAAATGTGGAGGGTCTCCGTGGTGATACTGGTGGCAAGATTCGATCATTCACCTGATTAGTGAAAATAACATCACATGTTTATTTTTATTTCGTTTTTATTTGTAACCATTTCTCTCCTTTTGGGGATTGAGTTATGTGTTAACAAGTCATTGAAAATGACACAGCCCCTGTTAAATTAATCTTGGAAATATAGTAGTAAGGCCAAAAAGTCAGATGGCTGTCAATCGTCCATCCTTGATCTGATTTTGAAACAAATTGTCATGGACATGTATTCTGACATGTATAAAGTATGTGCCAAATTTGAATGAAAACTGACAAAGCATGTCCAAAATACAACATTTTCAAAAAACAAGATGGCTGCCAGTCGGCCATTTTGAATCAAATCGCTAAACCACTGCATGTGCATATGTCCCACATAATGTACTAGACACATGCAAAGAGTGAACGGAATTGGTCCGAAGGATTCTGAAATTTGACTCTCGACAGACGGACAGACGGACAGATGGTCGAGGACATGTATCCTAACATGTATAATCTATGTACAAAGTTTGAATGAAAACTGACAAAGCATGTCCAAAATACAACATTTTCAAAAAACAAGATGGCTGCCAGTCGGCCATTTTGAATCAAATCGCTAAACCACTGCATGTGCATATGTCCCACATAAAGTACTAGACACATGCAAAGAATGAACGGAATCGATCCGAATGATTCTGAAATTTGACTCTGGACGGATGAACAGACGCACAGTTGCACGAACGGTCGAGGACATGTATCCTAACATGTATAATCTATGTACAAAGTTTGAATGAAAACTTACAAAGCATGTCCAAAATACAACATTTTCAAAAAACAAGATGACTGCCAGTCGGCCATTTTGAATCAAATCGCTAAACCACTGCATGTGCATATGTCCCACATAAAGTACTAGACACATGCAAAGAATGAACAGAATCGGTCCAATAGATTCTGAAATTTGACTCTGGACGGACAGACAGATGCACAGACGCACGAACGATCAAGGACATGTATCCAAACATGTATAATCTATGTACAAAGTTTGAATGAAAACTGACAAAGCATGTCCAAAATACAACATTTTCAAAAAACAAGATGGCTACCAGTCGGCCATTTTGAATCAAATCACTAAACCACTACATGTGCATATGTCCCACATAAAGTACTAGGCACATGCAAAGAATAAACGGAATCGGTCCAAAGGATTCTGAAATTTGACTCTGGATGGATGGGATGGACAGACAGACGGACGACGGACGGACGGACGAATGGATGGACGCGGAGACGGAGAGACACTTTCATGGTTGCATTACACTGTTCTATTACTGTTTTTCTGTTATCTGATTGGTCTTTACTGACATCACATGCACTGTTTGTGCTATACACCTAGTTCATTGAAATGTGATTGATAATCCTAATTTTAGGTTGTAACTAGTATGTCATACAATTTTGGTTTTATCTTTTTTGTGTATTTTCTAATTTGCCTGCAAATGTGAAACTGGTAGTTATGTAAACATCCATGCACAAGCACAGTTACGATGACAGTACAGTTTTATGAGAGTTTTCAACCTTTGTTTTCACTAGCAATGGTTGCTAGGAGGTGAAAATGGCTAAATATCCACTAAGAAATGGCTACAGGTCTTGATCCAAATTTTTGAAAAAATACAAAAAAAAACTATACAGGTTTATCTGGTGGATGGTGACAGTTGATTTTTTGTTGCTCAATGGGTGAAGATAATTGTGAGCATGAGTCACTTGTACAAATTGTCTGGTTTTTCTGACGTATTTGACGATAAGACAACATGAGAATAAAAGACTGTAGGTTAATATGTATTTGACTTACTGGTTTTAACGGTGGTCTCGATCTGATAAAATCTAAAATAACATCATGTGCATCTTTTTTCACTTGAGGTGGTATTTCTCCATCGATCTGTATCAGAGATAAGATATATACTATGGTAACAGATAATAATTATATAAAGTATGTACAATAGAAAATACTACAAGTGAAATTCAGGATATATTTTACAGGTTTTTAAATAAACAAATCTAGTGCTTTTGTGAGAGAGCTGTTTACCCTTCTTGAGTGTATGGAGGCGCTGTTCACCCTTCTTCGCTGAACTGTGCGTCAGATTACGTGACCCGGCTGGGCGTGATTGACCGCAGATACTGACAACCCGCCATTTTGACATGAGATCAGGTGATCCTGAAGCAGACGCTCGACTGGACGTACGTCCATGCGATGATTATACAGCCAAAACAAAGTCAGCTTGGACGTTCAGTTGTGAGACATGACAAAATAAACACAGCCAGTGATACATTTCGAGAATAAAACAACAAAATAAATGCAATCAAAGATGCCGACCACGCGCACTGGAAATGAATAGAACGCATTGCGGCAAGGACTCTCACATGGCTTTTTTACTAACGGAAACGCACACGCACGTGCTATTTCTGTATATTTCGGCTAAGAAAAAAACACCGGAAGGGACAAATTTAAATCATGTTTGTATTAACGTAACATGAAAGCAACGGTGAATATAAGTTTATCAATCATCAAACTAAATATTCGATGTTACATACATGAAGCGAACTGCGGCGGTTATGTGGCTAAGACGAAGGACATGCGACAGTACTATTATGTTTGTCTACTACACGTGCGAGTAACTTTCCGATAAAAACGTGATTAGTATCAGCAATAATTTCTAGTACTGCATGGAGAATTGTGTATTATTAGTTGTTATCAGACATATCCTTGTCCAGGATTTTTTGAACAATGTCTCACATTTCCGAAAAAATATTCAAATACTAGTTGGGGCATAGACCTTAGAATATCTATTAAAGTGCCTGTGAAATGGCTGCTATTTTCACGTCTAAAATTATCAATTGATACATAAATATTATTAATTTTTATGTTTCTAAGCATAAATTATTTTTTTTAAGTGAAAAAATGTGTTTTAAACTCTACAGCAACTTTATTTTTTGTATTTTAAAACGAGGCTCCTCATTAGCTATTCATTGCCATACAGAAATTCCCCTTGTGACGTCAGAAAGGGAAGTTGCTGGGCAGCTCGCATTGCCGATACGTGTAAATAAGGCAAATTTCTTGTGCAGTTTTCTCGT